GCCTGTTGTACACCTGAAGCCGACGCAGGAAACCAAACGTGTATTAACGTAGATAATTACACAATGGCTTCATTAGGGATGATACACCGGAACTGATTCATAAATGTATCTATCTAAATAAATCTACATTTATATTTTTAGCGCATTTCACAGACCAAGGTCACACAAAAAGCTTCAGTCCTTTCCATTCTCTTCACACGACAGACGCTGAACACAGGTGCATCATTACAATCAGACTATTCTACATGTGTTTAGTGGTAGGGGAAACCGGAGCAGACACGGGGAGAACATGCAAACTCCACACAGAAAGGTCTGGAGGTGGAATCAAGCAGTAGCTCTACTCCGAGCTCCTCCCGTGTGACTGAGCTCCTCCATCTCTAATGGTGCTTTCAGACCGGATCATGCGTTGTGTCGGCTTTCAATGCAAAGTCTCTGGTGATGTGCGTTCGAGCATCGCAACGAACAAACATCTCGGGAAGCACGAACGGACTGTTCCGTAGAGACGCACATACTGCGCGGGAAAGTCGAAGGGGAGGAGCAGGAGCGGAAAATGGACGCTCACAGGAGATAAACTTTGCACAACCTTTCCTCGGGACGTTCGTGCAGCGACCAATCAGAAAGCCGCAAAGTGGTCACGGGGACATTAGTGGTCTGAGCGAGCAGACTGAACATACTGTAAACAGCCAAAATAGGAGCTACACCACGACTTAAAACCAGGGTTGACAATGGGGGACTGTGTGCTTGTGAATACATGCGTTGTCATGCTCCCGTGACTTTATGCAACTGCTTCGAATGTGTTCGCCGATGCAGAAGAACCGTTTAATAATAAAATAAACTTACAGCGCACCTCCGTGAACACATAATACTGTTATATAAAGTTCGTGCAGAGCTGCATTATTGGAGAATATCTTTACACGCGAAGCCGCTAACATAACTCTGTTAGCATCAGAGCCGGCCGACTACTTCCGCCACTTCCGGCGCGCACCAGGACGTTCTGGTGTGAAGTCCCGTGCGTCTGAAAACTAGAGAATGTGCGTCTGGTGAGCGAGGCTTCATCGTTTGAGCGTTTGTGGTCTGAAAGCACCATAAGGGAGCAGCTGCTCTACTCAGAGCTCCTCCCGTGTGACTGAGCTCCTCTGTCTCTAAGGGAGCAGCGGCTCTACTCCGTGCTCCTCCCGTGTGACTGAGCTCCTCTATCTCTAAGGGAACGCCCAGCCACTCTGCGGAGGAAGCTCATTTCGACCGCTTGTATCCGCAATCTTGTTCTTTTGATCATTACCCAAAGCTCTTGACCATAGGGGAGGGAGCTCTGACTGGAGACGCTGCTCCCTCATGACCAGAGGTGAGGGAGGGAACGAAGATTAACCGGTAAATCGAGAGATTTGCCTTTCGGCTCAGCTCTACACCACACGGGTCTGATATAGCTCTGACTGCAGACGCTCATCCTTCCCTCGCTGAGAAGGAGACCCCTAGATACTTGAACTCCTCCACTTGAGGAAGGACCAGTCCACCTGGAGAAATGCTCCCAAAAACATATAAAATTTCACCAGATTTATTAAAAGTAGGTAAATGATTTA